TGCAGATCTTGGGCTGAGTCAATGTTTAACCTCATGTAGAGTCAATGTTTAATCCCAGGCCAGCCAGCCCCCACATCCAGCATTCCTCAGCAAACTGATCATACAGTCATGTCAGTGTCCATCACTGGGAGAGTAGAATCATGACCGTGAATCTACCAAAACTAAATATCAAATCCCCTCCTCCCCCCCCCACCTTTAAGGATATTGACTATGTGGGATTATCCTGTCCAAGCAGCCCTACCCTGGTCATCAGCAGGTAATACTCTAGTCATCCCTGCCCCTAGCTATCTTGCACTGGCAGGAACACAGCAGGGACTCTTCCTGCCCTGGGCTGGAGAGAGCCATGGGATGGGGACTACGGCCGCTCATGCTCAGCTGAGTGCTGTGGGCTGGGAAGGCAGGCCCTAGTGTGCTCACCGCCTGGGACCCCACCGTAAAAGTGGGCCCTGCCGTAGTCTAGTTGGCTGAGCTCAGGTCGGCCTTTGGGCAGCTCCTGAGCGCACACATGTTTGGAGGCCTGAGCCTTTTTCGAGGTGAGCCTCCCTGTTAGGGAGCTATTAATAGTCTGTATTTGCCTGGCTGTGGAGTGATTTCATAGAGGCTTTCCAGGCCCTTCTCAAGGAGCTCAGAGCCTGGTATCTGGGACTGGGACTGGCAGTATCATGTCCACGTCAAGAACAACCTGAATGAGTAAAAAGTCAGACAATGGCCAGCTGGGTGCTGGATGCCACCATGGTGGTGGGGGGTGGGATAGAAGGTGGGTCTGGTCACCGGAGAGTGTCAGGGAGGGAGGCTTACAAAGTACGTATGAGAGCCTGGGCGCTCTTCTTCCCCATGAACTCACTGAGCTCACTGAGCCTCCTTTTCTCTGATTACCTGCCTCCCTGTGTCATTGTCCACACGTCCTACCCCTCTCCTGTTTTCCTAGCTCTGTTCACTCTGAATCAGAGAGTGGAAAACAACATTCCTTGGGGAGCCCTGGAGTGGGGGGTTGCCTTTGTCATTTGGGTGGCGGAGCGATGAAGGCAGAGACCGTGGTAGGAGCCCCCTGAGACTGGCGGGGTCTTATCCCAAAGAGCTTGTTGTGCAGAGCTGGGAGGAGTGAGGCTGGGCTGGAGAGTTGGACTTGGTCCAGAGGCCCTCTCAATTTCCCTGGGCCAATCCCAGAGCCCCAGAGACTTTTGGTCTCTCGGTTTGAGAGGCAGGAACAAATGAACCAGCCTCTTCTGAAGTTTCCAAACTGCTCTCTTTCCCTCTCCCACCTCTATACCCTGTACAGGGAGGGGCGGATGGAGGAAGATTTTCAGAGTAGACATCCAAAGTCAACAGGCAGAGTGTCAGGTAACAGGGCCCAGCCCCTCTTGTAAGCTACTGGGGTCCTTCTGCAGAAGTGCTGTTTCCTTGTTCCTGATCAGAGCTGGCCTTCAGCCCACAGTTTGCCTGTCGGACGGCCACTGGAAAAATATCCTCTGTGATCCCCTGCGGCCCACGCCCCTCTGAGCCTCAACATTCCCATCTGTGCGATGGTATACAATCCACTTTTTTCTGGGGATATGTACTGTAATTAATTTTTAGTTGTCTGTGCTGTGCGAGTGGAGTCGTGCGCTGGCAAAATGAAGAGTTTAGGCCATTGCATTCACTAACCATCTGCCCTTTCCCATGCCAGGCTCTACAGAAGCAAAACTCCCCAATGCTCTTTTCCTGAACTCTTGTCTCAAGGGCAACATCTGACCTTGCCGGGCAACATGGAAAACACCTTTGGTCATGATAGTCCTGGCGTTTCCTCTCTTAACTAAGATCCTCGGGGGAGTCAGGAATTTGTAACATTAGGTAAAAGAGCGGCCTTTCTTTGACCTTCTTCTCTCAGAGCAGAACTGGTAGATCTAGACCAAGTCAGCAAATAAGCAAAGGTTGGGAACTCAGCCAGAGGCTGGAAAAGGCGAAACAGAGAAGACCCTGGATGCTAACCAGGGAATTTGTGTCTTCACCAAAATGGGACCGGGGGACAAATCGTGGCTGACTGGCACAGTGCCCCAGTGTTCATGATTTCTACATGCCTCCAGAAGTGTGGGATAGTGTCCTCCCCTGCCCCTCTTCTGTCCTTCTGGGTTTCTGCTGACCCCTGGGGGAGCAGGCAGGGGGATGACAATTTGTCCTCCTGTTTAGAGTGAAGGGAGCAGGCTGGTCCCGGGGGTACGGGGAGTGCCTGCGAGCCAAGTGGCATCCCTTAATGGGAAGGAAAGAGCTTGGTGGGCTGGACCCTGCCAGAGGGTCTGTTGTCTTTTGTGGAGAATCTCCATTTTCATCGAACATTTGTCAAACTCTTAGCCCTGGGGTATCTGTACCCTTGGAAAATAATCACACAATTCATGTCAACTAGGCTTAAGTGCATTACAGATCATTCCGTGGAAATACCTTCCTTTTCGTGTCTGACCAAAGCTGTGTTTAAGCTGATTCCGGAGTTCCCAGACCACACTGGCTACTGGAGGAGAGGAAGAGAGCCCCAAAACCTTAGTGGAGAACAGTGACAAGTTGCCTGGGTTGTCAAGCATTTGCCCTGGGTTACCCAAGATGGACGGACATCCCCACAGGGAGTGAAAGGTCTGGGCTCTATAATGCCGGGAAGGACCTCGGGACAGTGACTGAAATTTCAGCTCTCCGTTCCAGCTCCATGAACTTGTATGCTTTGCTTAGCCAGGCTGGGAATCCACCCGCTGGGTGACCAAAGAAAACAATTCACTGGAAATGATTATAAAACCTTCTACACACGGGCCTGACAGGAAAACAAAGAAAGCTCTCGAAGGTTAAACAGGAAAGGACCTGAATAGATTCCAGGGCATAAACCCAAGTGAGGAGGAAGGCAGCGAGGGGTATGGATCAAGGATTTAACCATCAGAGTAGACTGCTTTGCATTTAATTCTCCACTTGCCCTTTCCTAGGGTTCTAACTTCTTCATTTCTCTGACCTCAGCTTTTGCATCTGGAAAGCGAGAATTCTCATGCCTGCCTTACAGAACTGTTGCATCAAATGCAAGGCGAAAACCAAGGGTGGTGCCTGCTCTGTAGAGATACCAAGGCAAGGAGCATCCACATTAAGAGCTCTGCCCCCTCGGGGAGAACCTGCTTGATAACGGGAAAGTCGGCGCTCCCTGCATCTTGAATTCTAAATCTCCACGGAGACTTCCCTGATTCTAGCCTAGCGATGGATGTTTCCCTGCCCCTCGTCCCAGTGATGTGACTACCATGCTAGCTGGGGATAGAAGACAAAAGCCAAGCCACTGACCATGCCACGTGGTGGAGTTGGCCCGCTTTGTCTGTTTGACTTCTGCCCCACTGCAGGTATTAGTTAACCCATAGAGGAAAGCTATAAAGACTTGGGGCTGCCCCATTTCTTTCCAGGTGATCTTATCTCTGCCCAGCAATAAACTGTAGGCCCTGAGACTCTGATCTTGACTCTGCTCTGACATTTTGAACTATTGCTGGCCCCTCCTCCTGGCAGACCTCAGCTTCCCCTAATGCACCAGGACGTGCCAACCGGTTCTACTTCCGGAAGTCACCCCTCCCTCCAGCCACTTGGCGAACACCCTTGCCAGGCTGCTCCCCTCTTTCCCCAAGATGGCGTTGTCAGACTGGGCTTTCTCCCTGCTGAACCCCAAGCAGACACTGTTACAGGAGGTTGGAGGAAGGAGAGGTCCCTGAGAGGGTTATTCAGGGGGAGGCAGGGGGGACGCAGGGAAGCTTATGAAGGAGAGTGTGGTCTGATCCTTGACATCAGAGTGGGAACAGGACAGTCTGGTATGCTTGTATGGCTTAGCTCAGGGGTTGGCAAATCCTGGCTCTAGAGCCAGATCCAGCCTGACACCTGTTTCTGTAAATAAAATTGTGTTGGCTCACAGCCAGTGTCATTCCTTTAAGTATTGTCCTTGGTCGCTTTGGGGCCACAATAGCAGAGCTGCCTCGTTGCAGCAGAGCCTATGTGTCCTACAAAGTCTAAAGTATTTACTCTCAGGCCCTTGACGGAAAAGGTTTGCAGACCCCGACTTTAGCGCACCCAGCTTTCCCAAACAGCGATCCGAGGAACTCAGTCCAGGGAGATTGCCTCACCAAGATACCAGAGTCCAAAACGCTGGGGAAACACTCCTAACGTCCCCACACCCCAGGGCTATTCACAAGGTACCTTAGTGTATCAAAGGCTCCAAATATTCGTATGCATAAGAACCCATTTATTGTTTAACCAGCATTTCCCAAACTCGTTTGATCTACCACCGCAACTTTTTTTCTTCCCTCAGAACAGCTCTTAACGATCTTGAGAAGCTTGCCTTCTGTGGACGCCCCTGGTAACACTGGGTAGGTGGAATGATCCTTTACCTCCTGAGTTCTCAGCCTGACCCTGTCTCTAATAGGCCAAGTGACCTTGGCTGGAGAGCCTCTGCCCCTGCTCCTGCTTCCTCATTGGTTGAATGGGGTGTGGCTCTTCTGGCTTCCCTGTCCCTCTTACAGACCGTGCAGGAGGGTCACTGAGAACTGAGAGAGTGTTCACAAAAATGATCTGGGGCAAGAAACGGCAACGTCATTGATTGTATTAGTTTTGCTTTGATACATTGTTTAGCAATGGCGAAGAGGAGAAAGCACTAGATCAAGGTTAGGGGTCCCCCTTTCGGATCCTTACTCTATTACTCACTAGCTTTAACCAGATTACTTCTCCCCATAGGGCCTCAGTTACTTCACCCAGGACTCTAAGGCTCTGTTAGCTTTGAAAGCCTATGATTCCATTCGGCTAGACACATCCAACTTCCCTACTTCTCCAAAACAATGGGGTCTCTCTCACCAACTTTGAAGACTAAATCCCTGTGATTTTCTGCGGACAGCGCCTGTGCTCAGCACCAGCTGTGAGGCAGTATTAATGGAGGGTTTCTGGTGCTGCTGACAGCAATGGAGGCAGAGCCGATCCTTCTGGAAATGTCGACCCGACAATTCTCAACTTGATACTGGAGTCCTTCCTTTCTTTCTCTCCCATTGCTCAAAGGCTGCTTTGCCCAGACATAAAGTTCAGACAGCTGGCTAACAGATTTGGCAGAATAAAAAAGCAGATGTGACCCCTGAAAAGGCAGTGGGACCAAGGGTGGAGTGAAAGTTCCCCGATAGACATGGAATGAAGTGTTTATGAAGCAGAATCCACATAAAATTCCTTCTGGCCACCTTCTCTATGAACACCACCCTCCCCTTAAAATGACCATTTCCCAGCTTCATTAACAGTCCTTTGGATAGTAAAGATTTATAAACAGTGGAACAAGAGAAGTTTTATGAAGAATGTGAGAATCTACTGAAAAATTCCCTCCTCATCCATGCATTTAGGAAAATCCCAGAAAATCTTGCCTGGCGCAAAATGTCTGTGGCATAATGAGTATGGGCTCAAATGGGAAGGGGTGATTTGAATAATGGGGGTTGTTCTTTTTGGTTTCTATGGAGAAGGCACCTGCCACTGGAGTCAACCAGGGAAACTCCCAAATGAAGGGGACTCAGCATCTCAGAGGCCACTGAGCCCATGCCCTCCAGTCGACCTTTCAGCCACAAATATTTACTGGGGGCCCCACAGAGCTGGAGGTCCTCTGGGGATTTAGTGAGGTGGATCTAACACGATTACTGCCCCACAGGAGCTCAGAGTGCACTTGAGAAGGCAAGCGTCACGTACGCGAATCTGATGAAATGTACGCAGCAGGCTGAGCACTAAAGGACTTCAGAAAAGAAGGCGGCTAGCAAGGGCGAAGAATGGTGGCTAAGAAGTTATAGCAGTCAGAGGACTCATATATTTTCAAAACCCCAGGAAAGGAAATTCCACACTTTCCCAGGTGACCTCCACCAGGGTTCAATCAAAGCTTTCTTGAAGCCTTCTCTGAGTCATGCATCACCTTTAGCTGGGGCCTGGGCCCAAGGGTGGCCCAAGGGAAGCCTCTGCTTCCCCAGAGGGAGTGCCCACTCCATTCGCTCTGCTTCGTACAGGCGGAGGAAAGACGAGGAAAGGCTGAAGCTATGGTCCTTCATCCTGGTTCTCTTTGCATGGTGACGGAACAGCTTATGCTTCCACTCCTCAGGGTCCGGGATGTGTCTCTGGGACAGTCAGACTGACCTGGGGAGGACAGTCATCCCGGAGCATGTTCCTTTCCATGTGGGGCAGCTGGTCTGGCTGCAGGCTCGGTTCCAGGAGATATGTCATCTGAATCAAGGTGACCGCTGCTGCCCTCTCTGTCTCCTGAGCTGCACAGACACAGAGTGGGCTGTGAGGGGACTGGGGACTGAATTTGATTCCCTGAGAACCCCAACCCCCCACCCCTTCTGGGAACTTCCTGACACAGAAGAACGCAGTGGAGCCCTTTGACTGAAGAGGATGCGGCCGGGCCTTTGGGGTCCTGGCTGTGATCTTAGTCTCTTCCACCTGCTCCCACAAATCTCACCCTCTCTTCATCAGAGCTAACCACTGTGGAGCACTCATTTGGGGAGCCTTTGACTGTGGGCTGGAAGAGACTTTCAGGCAGGCCGTGGAGAGGGCACAAGCGTAGTTTGCTCCCACATCGGGGACCTCCATGGGGGACTGGTCCTGCCGTTCGCATGCCTGTGGGGAACGTCTGTCTTGCCTTCCTCTGAGGAGCCTCTTCTCCAGCTCCGGGATGTCACTGAGGCGTTAAGTACAGAGACGGTTCCCCCATTTCACTGGTAAACCAAGGCCAGGAGTGGTGAAATGGCTCAAGCTAGAACTTAGCATTTCCCTCTCCAGAGGTCTTGGCCCCAACTCCGACCCAGTCCTGCCTGAGCAGAACAAACACTCCCTCCCCAGCCTCGGGGCTACTCCAACTGCACTCACTCATCTGCTTTGTCCAGAGCTTCTTTTGCAATAGGCCAAAAGCCACAAGGGTCAGGGGGCACAGCACCGTGGAAACGGGAATCAGGATCCAAGAGATGTTTTTCTCTCCCGGAGAAGCGCTGGAGTGGAAGTAGCCGGTGGGGGGAGGGAAAGAGCAAAGGGGAGGACGGTTGGAGCTGGACAGGAGACTGAAGGGCATAGGGTCCTCGCCCCTCGCTTTACAGGTGAGAGGCTAAGGTGGGGGAAGTTGGCTGCCTTCATTCCCACAGCGGGTTAGTAGCAGGGCTGGGACCAGAACCCCTGTCTTCAGGTTCCCAAGCCCTGAATCCTGGTCCCCACTGCACTGCCCAGGTGTGGGCCCCCCTGGGGGCCAGTGGGAAAGAGGACCGAGTGAGTCATGTCACCCACCCTGGGCATTTGGCTCTGCCACAATCTTTCCTTGTGGCTTCAGCAAGTACCTCCCCTCTCTAGAGCTTTTGTTCCTCATCTATTACAAAAAAAAAGTCCCAAAGTTTCCACCTAAATATTCTGTTTTCCTAATGTTTAGATTTTTACTTGAAAACCACGTGAAAATACTCTGGGTTTCTTAGCAAGGACTCTTGAACAAGGGAGGGTCTGTGATTTTTATGGTCCTTGCCCTTCGTTGTCCCAGGGTTACAAAGAGAGAAGTGAGCACATGGAGTGGGGTACAGAGGTCAGCCCACGGGGGAGCATGCCGGGAGTGGGGCAGATACAGAGCCCCGGCCAAGACGAGGGTCTGGGAGTTTACCTCATCATGGAGGACCTCTTGCCCATGGGCATCACGGACCCAGCAGCTGGGGCCTGGCTTGGTGTGGCTTGGGGATCGCTGTCTCCAACAGGCATGTCTAGGTCCCCTTTGGTGGCTTCCTGCTCAGACGCCATCTCTATGCTGGTAGGTCCTGGGGTCCACACACTCGCAGCTGGGGTGCTTCCTTCATTGGAGCCCAGGGCTTGTGGCTGAGCCGCAGCTGTCACTGTTTCTGACAGGATTTCCTGCACCCATTTTCCTGAGACCAGAGTCGATGGCCTACCGGTCCCTGGGACCTTCCCAGTGACATCCAGAGCTGTTCTGACCCAGTCTGTTTCTTCTGATGGTCCACCGGCCTCAGTAGCTGTCTCCCTCCCTGCCTCGCTGGGCCTAGCTGTATTTGCTACTGAGCCTCTGGTGTCCCACACCCAAATACCTTCTGTCGTACCGGATATGCCTTGGATTGTTGAAGGCAGACTCTCTGGAATGGGGACTGTTGTCCAGACAGAGCCCTCTCCCTGGCTGGCTGTCCCTACAGCTACTGCCTCAGTTGTCCCTGGGGTCTGCCTTCCCTCAGCTGATGCTCTTGTTTTGTTGGTTCCTGGAGGCAGAGCAACTCTGTCCCATCCTGTCCCCTGTCCTTCTACAGTCTGGGTGGCTCCTGAGGTCTGTCTGTTGGGTGCTGGTGATGCCGTTTCAGAGGATCTCATGACGCACTCACCTGTAGCCAGAGTAGCTGAGGGGCTGGTGCTGGAAGGATCTGTGAACGGCAGAGGGAGACCACATGGGAAGGCTACCCTGGTTGCCTGCAGGATTTAGCAAAGGATGCCAGGCTAGTACGCCTGCTCCAAGGACTGAGTCCTCACCAAGCCACACAGTCTTTGGTTAATATGTTGGAAAAAATAAAAATTAGGGAAAACCAGGCATGTCCTCTAGCCTGTTGCACATATTGACATTCTTTGGTCCTTTCTCCTTGTTTTATGCCCACATACTCTCTACTGAGCCGTCCCGCACTCCCACGCTGGCCCCTTTTCCGCAGCCCGCCCCGTACTGCTTCTCAGACACAGCAGGCCATCTCAGCAGATGTGTGAGAACATCTCACCGGACACATGCAAACCCAGGCTCTGCCTGCTCCCTGCCATGCCACCTGTCCCTGCCGGCCACTGCCTGGGCCCCCTTCCGTGGATTCTGGGTGCCCAACTCCAGGTCACGTCTCTGGATCCTGCCAGGTAGAGTATGGTCTTGGTAGCTTGTGGGATGTCTGCCAAGGGGCTCAGTCTCAGGAAAAACCACTTCTCTCCTGAGTATCTCACGTGGTCTGCTTGTCTGAACAAAGAGACTTCGTGAGCCTAAGAAGCTGCATTTTTCAATTTGCCCCCCTCTTGGAGTCCTCTCCAAGTGTCTAGGCCATAGAATTTGGGGGAATGTGGGCAGGACAGCTGGCATGCATTCATTTAGGTAGTTTTCCAAATACCTGCCTTCCTTCTGAAGGTAATTGCTTTCTGAAATGAAAGCCGACTTCCTAAAGTCTCTGCTTCACCCCCAGCTTTTCCTCATCACCGCCCCTCCTCAAGCTTAAAGCCCTCTTGGACCTGTCGATCTGCTCCTGCACCTCCCCCCACCGCCCCCTGCATTTACTTCGCCAAACTTGACCCACCAGCCTGTACCTGTGGAGACGGTCAGATTCATGCTGAAGAAGAACACGTTGTTTCTGTTGCCAATGCCACAGCGATAGCGCCCCACGTCTTCCGGGGACAGCTGAGACAGCGTCACCACAAACAAGCCGCACCGCGGGTAGTCTACTAGGGCCACGCGGCCGCGGTAGCCGAGGTGAGTGTAGTTGGTGGTGGACACGACGGTGTGGCAAACCCGTGTCACCGGGCTTATGCGGCACCAGTACTTCCGCACATGCTTGTTGATGGACAAGGGGCTGTAGTGGCAACGGATGGTGACAGCTCCCCCAGGCCTCCCAGACACCAGCCTCGGGCCTTTCAGTGCATTTGCAGCTGTGGGCAGAGAGCGGGGGAGAAAAGTCAAAGGAAATGGAGCGCTGGCTATAGCCACTGTTTGCGGGTTACAAGCTCCAGACTCTGCCGGAATTAAGGAACAGGTCAGAAAATGCCGTCGTGAAAGTGAAGGGAAGAGGAATGCATGTGGACACTTGGGAGCTCAGGAGTGCCCCCAGATGTGGGTGGAGCTTCACCTAAGGCCCCATCTGAGAGACAAAAACTCGAGAATGCTCCCACCAGCTATCTAGCTGGCGCCTGTCGCATGCCCAGCGTTCTCAGACAAGTCCTTCCAGAGCCCGGCCAACATCTGACAGAAGGGGCTACGGTTTGTTTGATGGAACACAAGAGAGGAGGTAAGTAGGGGAGGGTGGGTTAGTGTGCGTTCCCCTGAGAGGGAAGGGTGCCCTGAACACAAGAATCGCGGTCCATGTAGTGGACCAGGCGGTTGAAAAATATTCACACCTGACACTTTTCTGCAGAAGTACAGACAGCCGCGTACCACTGTCAGAGCGCAGATGAGCAGCGCCGTGAACAGGTCTGCTTTGGCAAGGGGCGAACGTCAGGCCTGAACACTTCGCGGCCTGTTTACTGAGTGACGTGAACTTGACCCGATGCGGGCAGAAACAGAGCTTGTTCTCATGCTGTCTCTTCATACCGGCTCTGCCCCTTGATAAATCTCAGGCACGATTTCAGGTGCGGGAACTTTCACAGTCTCACTTACACTGGAAAAAAGTCCAATCTGGTCAAAACCTATATATGCAGCCCAGTCCCGTGACTGACTGCAACTCCAGTCTCTTTGCTCTGCTCCTTCCTCTGTTCAAAACTGCAGGTCAGGCCCTGCGGGGATTGCCTGTGGCGGGGCAGAGGGGAAGGTGACGGGGAGAGCTGCCGTCTGTGCACACGCTCTCCGGGCACAAGGGATATCCAGAGCTCTTCCGAGAACTTTGGCCTCCCAGACTGTTCCAGGCCCTCTGGCTGCAGTTCCTTCCTTGTAAGAACTGCCTCTCCTGGGGCCTCTTGTGCCTCCTCCAAAACCACACCTATGACTTTGGGCCACCTGCCCTTCTTTCTGTAGTCACAGCCCTTTCTGGCTGGCCTTTGTGGTGGGCTCCCCCAAGGCCAGCTCCTTTCTGTAGGTCCCACATTTGATCACAGGAAGCACGCTTTGGTCCTACTGTCAGAGAAGCTGGGACGTGGGACAGCTTGGCAAATGGCATTCTCTAAGTTCCTTCTCTTATTTGAGAGAACGTGAGGGGGAAGTGATCCCTCCTGCCCCCTAGGGCAGGTGGAGACGAGCCCAACACACTGACACCTCTCTCAACAGCACTTCTTTGGTGAGCTCGGATACCCTCCCCTGATTCCTCAGATGGCTACATGGGGGGCTGTTGCTGGCACAGCCCGCAAGGCAGTCTCTCCACGGTCCTGCACAGGCGCTTAAACATCTGGCTTTCAGGTGTGGCTGCCTGGCCTTGATCGATTTGTTCTATGTCTCTAGGGCCCTCTGAAGCTGAGAAGGTTCAGTTTTTGTTGATTGTTTGTTTCTAAAGATTTTATTTATTTATTTGACAGAAAGAGAGAGAGAGCATGAGCACACACAAGCAGGAGAGGGGCAGACGGAGAGGGAGAAACAGACTTCCCACTGAGCAGGGAACCCGACGCAGGGCTCGATCTCAGGACCCCAGAGATCATGACCTGAGCCAAAGGCAGACATTCAACAGTCTGAACCACCCAGGTGCCCCAAGAAGGTTCAGTTTAGTATCCAGGTTTAATATCCCGTTGCCAGAACTGGCTATAGAATCGCAAAGCCCGGTGCAAAGTGGAAGTACAGAACTTCCTGCTCAGAGGCTAGTAAGCCCTGTTCTCTATGATGCTAGCAGGGCATTAAACTGAGCCCCTTCTGAGGATGGGGCCCTGTGACTGCCCAGGGCACATGCTCATGATGCCGGCCTGCCTGCTGCATATGTCTTGAGGTCTAATTATAGGAAATGCTATGACTATAGCACTACTCACTGTAGGTTTAATTAAATGACATGCCACCAGCTATGTTGCTATTAATAAAGCTAAATGGCAACCTTTCTTTAAAACTCAAGAATATTTACAATTTTAAACAAGGACCGTCTCGGGACAACATTGATGGTGCCCTGATAAGGTGTTCGTACTCTAGTTCTCAGGAATTCTTGCAGTCTACACGTGGCACATACGAGAGGCTCTCTGCCCTGTTCATCAGCAGGATGGGGCAGTCTGACCTCGCAGAAGGCTGATAAGAATCCTGAATGCGCTCTTGCAATGAACATTTTTTCTTACATAAATACCAAATTTTGCTTGCCCTTGAGAACTCATTTGGTGAATACCTGATCAGTAGCTCTTAGTTACATATATTTAAGGTGTATACAGATTATATTATATATAATTGAGAATCTATTGGGTATGGGCTAGCATTTTAGGATGAAGGGGGTGCCTTCCTCGGTTCCCTGATGCATATTCTCAGCCCTGAAGTGGAGGCGAGGACCCCATCATTTCCCTGCAGTTGTCTGTGGCTCTGGCTTCCCTCGGGGAGGAGTGAGGGGGGCCTGCAGAAGGAGGGAGCTCATGGACGGGAGACCAACTCGGTCTGCGCGAGCACAAGAGTTCTGAAGCTGGACAGAGGGGGAGCGGTTGCACCTGCAGTGGCTGCCTCCTCCATCTGGCAGAGGGGTGAGAAAGGAATGAGTGTTTCCCTGGCTCAGAGGCGGGGCCTGGAGGGGAAAGGGCCACTCCACCGGCATCTGAGATGGGTCTTCTGTGTGGAGGGGTCAAAGCAGAACCTGGGCAAAGGGAGGAGATGGACCATCAGGGGACCATCTTAGTTCACAAATACAATCACAAAGGGAAGAGCCAGCTCTCAACTCCTCGCCACCCCATCTAATAAGTGTTCCCTGCCTTCTACCTCACCTCCCTTCGGCTCCTATGACCCAGCTGGGGTCCCACATGACATGGAGAGGAGAGGAAAGGGAGGAACAGAGGAGAGGGCCACCATTCCCCTGTACTGCCGTCCTGACCACAGGCCTTGGGTGGATGAGGGGACATATCTTTGAAGGAAGACTGAAGTATTTAACTGCACCCTTAAAAGTATACATTCAGCATTTAAAACTTATGGGAATTGAGTTAGGACTCTTACCTACACTAATATGTTAGCAGAAAAGTCATGAGTCTGCCTGAGTTTTTGCTTGGGGGCAGGGGATGCCTGCTTCTACTGAAAATTTTTAAAATTTTCAATTAAAGAGGTAGAGTGATTATATGACAGAGAGTTCTTGCTCAAAATGAACTTTTGGTTCATTAAAATTCTGATTTGTTTATATACCAAACACAATTATTCATCTTTTTCTTTTTTTTTTTTTTTTTTTTTTTTTTTTTTTTTTTTGGTGTTACCAGAGCATTTTCATTTGTTCAGTCAATGATTATTTGCTCAGTCTCTACTCAGGACCAGGTTCTAGGACCAGGCACTCTGGGGACATATTTATCACATTTCTCAATGATTTCCCATCACCATCAAAATAAAATCTAGATACCGCAGCCCGGAGATGTGCCGTGCGTCATCTGAGCCTGATCTATACCTGGCCAACCTCACCATACCAGCCTGCCAGGACCTATGGGGCAAGGACTCTGTCCTCCATCCACCCGTCCTTTGTGACTGGCACGTGCTCAGCCCTCCATAAACGTGTGTCCACTAAATCAGTAGATGCAGAAATGCAAATTTCATTTACCCAGCCGGTTTCTTTGTAGACTCTGAACACTTGAGGAGGGCAGGTCTGCCCTCGCCCCAAGTACTGGGCCTGGCACTGAGTGTTTTTGGAATGAGGGAGAATCAGCAGTGCCCCTTCTGTGCCCTAGAACCCTCATCTTGCAAATGCAGATGACTTTTAGTCAACTGGAAGGGAAGAGAGCAGAGACACTGGGACTATCAGAACAGGGAATATTCTAGAAGTGAGCATGGCAGGCATTGGCCCTCTCCTGTGGGCTCTTGCCTCTCTCATTCCCCCTGGATGCAGACCTCACCCTTCCCTGGACTCACTGCATGGCCCGGGGTTCCCGAGAGAGAAAGCCAAGGGTAGAAAGTCCTAAATGTCGAGGCAGCCTTGAATACTGCTGAGCGGCCCACCAGCAAACCCTACAGACTGGGAGGCTCTGGGCCGGCATTGCAAGCTCCACATCTGGGCGGTGTTTGGGACTCACCTTGCAAGAGCAACAACGTGAGGAGGGTGGGCATTTTCCATCCTGCCCTCTGGATGGTGACCTGCAAAAAACACTATATTTGAGGAAACCCAAGGGGGCAGCTGAGAAGCTGAGGGGAGCCCAGGGAGGCCTGGGGTGAGGTGAGCCCTTTCTCACACGAGGACCTCAGTGTGCTCAGTGTTGTGGCTGATGGGCCGTATCTCACCCAGAGCAGGACTGCAACTGCTCTCCTTGAGAGAAACATGACTCCATCTCCCACCCCCAAACCCGCATGTTTGGCCCGGGTCATGACCACCAAGGCGAAAAGGTCTCTACCTTTGGAGTTTCTGTGTTCAGAAGAGTTGGAACTCCCTCTGTAGGATCCCAGCAGCCCCCCCAACTTGCCAGCCTCAGAGCTCTGAATTTGGGGGAGCCTTGGGTCATGGAAAGACCATGTGCTTACAGTTGAAACGTAGGCGGGAGCTCTGGGGCCTTGGGGGTCAGTTTCCTCCCCGGGGAAATGAGCACATGCGTCAGGGGCTTGTTGCACAACTGAAACTGGATTGTGTTAGAAGTGCTGGCAGTGTGCTGGGTACAGAGCTGCTCCCTCCCCCTTCCCTCCTCATCCCTTCTTTTTTGCAGAAAGAGAATTGATTCCTTCAAGGGGAAGCTGGTGGGGTTTCTCCGGGCAGTAACAAGGACTTAGACACAGACTCTCTGGACAAGCAGTTGTCGGCACAAGAGTTCTATTCTCTTTCTTCTCCATAGCTTCTAGAAGGTTCTCCCTGTCCTCTAGTGCATGCTCATCTCCCCCTACTCTGGTCTCTCCTGTGGGCCTGGTGGGACTTTTTGTGTCATCACTCTAACCCCAGGCTCTGGGACAGGATGCAGCACGGTGCTGGAGCGAGGACCAACCACTCTCGGAAGAGACACCATACTGATCCCCACTCACTAGCCTTTTACTGCTTGCTGATGATAAAGACTGAGACTGTACATTATACTTCATTTGTAGTCCCCCTTAGTGTTTTCATGGATGCTTTTGGGTTGATTAAAAATCTGTGCTTTACATCTGTCTACTGCCTACAGTTCTTAGGACCTACACATTTAGAAAAGAAAGAGAAAAAAAAAGAAAGAAAGAAAGCGAGAGAGAGAAAGGGCAAACTAGTTAGCTATCATAGTCTCCTTCTCCCTCCAATCCCGACCTCACTAATGCTGAGCACAGGTGTAGACCATCAATGGTCTGACCCAGGGGCTGGAGATCCCCACCCCCCACCCCTGACCCTTGCCCAACTAGACAAAACCACGCAAGGCCACTGGCCAGGCTGGGACATAAGCTTAAGGAGGAGAAAAGGGAATCGGGGAGGCAAGAAGGAGAAGGCGGAGAGGAAAGGAAGAGCAAAGGAAGAGAGAGTAGAGGACCGGAGAATGATTGAATCCATGGTTTGGCCCCATAGCTGCGAACTGTCCCCTCAACTTGGCTCCACCAGCCATCGCCCCTAAAGGCTCCGCAGTGGAGCCCTGAGGGTGGAGAAAGTTGGAAGAGTCCTTGGGCTCCTCATGCCTCCTTCGTGCCCTCTTAGCGATGCCCCTGCCTTGGGTGCCATCATGGCCGCCCAGCTGCCCGCCTCCCCCTGCCGTCCAGGGTTCTGGCTGCTTGCCTTCACCCAGAGGCTCTCCCAGGTGTGCCAGCGCCTAATCTGCTGTTTGTTTAATGTCCACCAAGCCTGGCTTCCTCGGAGCTTGTTTTTCTAGGGCACTAGGTGCTGACACGGCCCACGCTGAGGTCAAAGTCTTAGCACCACACCACCCAGTTCCTTGGAAGTCCACTGGTGCAGCAATCTCTAGGCTCGGGAGCAAAAGCCACCTCACCCCCAAGAGGCAATGAGGAAGCACAGGGTGTGAGATAAAAGGTCTCCCGGGAGTTATCAGCCTTGATTGGAGGCTGAAAGGACAATATCCGAGGAAATGTCTCCGAGCCGGCTACCCAGCCAGTGACCTTCAGAAAACCTTCCTCCAGGATACAGAGAGCCCCAGCTCAGCAGCCTGGGGCTACAGGCCTCTGTAATAATCCACAGCATTTTAGGGGATGAGGCCACTTGGGGGGCTGCTCTTGTCCCCCCATCCTGCTGGGAAGGGCATCTATTCATCTCTAGCACAGGCTGGTATATGACTCCCCAAATCCCTACCGCCCTCCTGAGGCCCACTTCCCTCCTATTCCTACCCAGGGGCAGCAGACACGAAAGCAAGGGGGCCTTGGTGATGTAGAGGGAAGTGCTCAGAACCAGGACTCAGGGGACTTTGCTTCGCCAGTGGCTGGTGGAATGACCTAGAGCAAAGGCAGCCTTGTCTCCATTACAGCAGAAGAGCTTTGGCCTTGTGATCTCCATGTCTCCTTCCCTTTCTGACATTTGTTGGTTTCACATGACTCAGGGCCTCAAAGGAATCATGCACTCTGGTGGGAGGGAGAGTCAAGGGGAGCAGGAGAGTGGGGAGGCAGGAGGGAAATGTTGTGGCCTGAACCCCATGGTCCTTCCCTGGCCTCCTGGGCATGAGCCCAGCCTGATCTGGGAAGGGCCCCTGAGTGCACACTGGAGAGCTGATGCTGCAAGTCACCACCCCCTGTCCCCCATCCCGAGGGAGACAAGACCCCAGCTTCTGGGGAGAAAGCCGAGTCTCACCTGTCTTTCTCCTGGCTTAGCCGAGGCTTCTCCAGCCATCTCAGTCCAGAGATAATATCCACCCGGACTTTTCTTTTTATTCTCTCTCGTTTTGCGATGCTGGTGTTTGAACACGTTCTACCTTCTTTTCTTTAACCTTGAGACTGAGAAGGCAGCCCTGGAGAGCTGAAAATCAGCTGGAGCCCCAAGAAGCTCCAAGTGAGAGATGGAGCTCTGCCCCTCACCTCTCCAGCCCTGCAGCAAGTCAGTGCACCCCGGCCCTGGCTGCTAGTCCTAGGAAGGAACCAGTCCCGGTTCCTTGTGGTCCTCACTGACACTCTTGCAGAACTTTTCCAGGGGTGGTGACAGTGACGTCAAGGATCCACATTCTTCCATCTTTTGTTTCCCCTCCTGTCCTGGGCCCCAGATTTCTCAGGATGCCCCAGTTTAGCTGACCCCTTCAGGATAAGTGGTGCAACAATCTGGGGAGGGGAGAAAATTCAGGGGAGGAATTCCCCTATAGTCTGGCTGGGCAGCCGGTGCCTTCTCCCAGCTCCCAGGAGAGCCAGTGTGGGTCACGGACTCCAGGTCAACTGCATGCCTGGTAGTCCCTAATTCATGCTCTGCACGAAGCACAATATAGGAAATGAGATAATTTCCATGGAAAGAGATCCCTGACCAGCGTGGCTCATCCTGGAGGACAACAACATGCTTAGAAATACTCCAACATTTTGCTTTGGAAAATATGCCATGGGTGGGTTCTCTTCCTCATAAAAGATGTAACTCCTACCCCTGCTGGTTTTAAATGGACATCAGAATGACAACTAAGGAGCTCCAAGGGATAGAGGTATTGCGGACTCGATTGAAGGACTCTCACCAGGGCCCCTGTTGGACACTGCAGCACCCTTGGGCCAGTTAGAAAGGGCACTTCTTCTTCAGAAAAATCAAGGCTGTTGATATATTGTTGCACAATAACCATGGATAGCAACGTGTATTGTCCGTGCATTCCCCCTTCCAGGTTTGAAGATAGATTATGGGTAGGAACTGTGTCAATGAAAGCAATAAGAGAGGAAAAGAAACAATACCATGGGCTGTCTGGAGTGCGGCTGTGAAAAGGTCATCTCAAGTGTGTGTGCCAGTTTCTGAGTGCACAGTGGTATGTGACACTATCCCAGGACTTGGTTAGAAGGTCCAGATCTTCACAAACGCCAACAGCCTCTCATATAAGTTACAAGACATCTACAATGAAAATGGCATCCCCTTAGCTGGGGCATGCTTAAGCAGTGCACAACCTGAAGAACTGTATATGATGGGCCTGCTTATCCCAGAATTGAATGGTGGTAGAAACAGTTAAGGTCTGGCTAAATTCTCCATTCCTAGCTCCTTTGGGAGCAGTACAGCATAGTGCTTTGATCACATAGACTTTGGAGTTAAGACTCCTTCCAAGTTAATATCCCAGCCCTACTTTTTACTGGAAAAATGATATGGGTTAGATTACTTAACAGCTTTACTCCTTGTTTCCTTCATCTGAAAACAGGAGATAATAGCACCTACCTCATAAAGTTATTTTGTGGATTAAGTGTGACAATCCATGTAACTTAAAGTCCCCTGCATGTATCAAATTCTCAGTAAGTTTCAGCCCCTAATATTAATAGCTTAGCTCACAGCAATAGAGAACAGGTATCTTTTAATGATCAAAGCCTCAGAAAAGGTCCTTTTTGAAGGTCATCTATTCAGTGGTTTGCTACTTTCTTTCTCTTTTCCTTTCTTTCTTTCTTTTTTTTGGGGGGGGGAGCATTTGATCATTTTGGCATTTGAAAGATTAGAAATAAATCAATTTGTCTGAAAACATGTCTGGATTGGTTTTGTATTTTAAAAAAATATTTGCCAAATTGCATTGTTTTGTAAACCATGCAGTCATTTTAAAATTTTATTTTATTTATTTATTTGACAGACAAAGATCACAAGTAGGCAGAGAGGCAGGCAGAGAGAGGAAGGGAAGCAGGCTCCTTGCGGAGCAGAGAGCCCGATGCAGGGCTCGATCCCAGGATCCTGAGATCATGACCCGAGCCGAAGGCAGAGACCCTAACCCACTGAGCCACCCAGGCACCCCGTCATTTTTCATCCTTAAGGATATTTTTTCTAGTTTATCTCCTTTTGAACATTTTGGAGACTTTTGAATACTAAAGACATAAACCATAGTAAGGTCCAATTAATTGTAAAGCACTGGGCCAGTTTTCAGAGGACTGACCCGGAGCCACAGTGGCTCCCTCTCTGAAGCTTTATGGGAGAGAAAACTCTGTACTAGCTACTCCTCTTGAGTATAACTGAATTCTTTTGCCTAGCACAAAGCCACGGGAAGCCTCCTTACCTAGGTTTATGATACGCTGACCTTCTGATTCCAGGTCCCAGACTCCAGAAAAAAAAATAATTATACTGAGACAAAATATGAGATCTGGGAAGAGTTTTGCCCACTCCCTGCCCCCCACCTCCAATCCCCTAATCCCAATTTTAGCAAAGGCTTTTATTGCCTAAACAGACACACCGAAGTAAAAATCAGAAACCAGCTAACCAAGGTAAGGAAAGCCACTTGTGCTATAACACAATGTGTATTGATCTCTTCCCTCTCCAAAACATGTTTTCTAATGAATAAATTAAGAGCACTGCACATCACTGCAAAGTTTTCTGCTTGCTATACCTACATGTGCAAGGTTTTTTCTTTTTTTTAAAAATATTTTTAAAATTTATTTTATATATAGAGAGAGAAAGTGGGAGGAGGTACAAAGGGAGAGGGAGAATCTTAAGCAGACTCCACGCTGAGCACAGAGCCCAACTTGGGGCTCGGTCTCACAACCCTGAGATCATATCTGAGCCGAAACCAAGAGGCAGACGCTTAACTGACTGAGCCCCCCAAGCGCTCCTGGAAGCTTTATTCCATCCTCATTATTAGCAAGAGAGACACAGCCCTTCTCCCCCTCCCTAACTCAAGTCCTGGTGAGAATACCAGATGCCGATGAAAGCGTTGTTTAAAAACACCTGGATCGCCACTACAAGGCCTTGATCACTTAGAAATTCATAGAGGACGGTGAACTATGAGACTTGTCACTCTTCCAAAGGATAAGAGGAGAAAGTATTTGGATAGCATGAATAATCATTTTATAATGATGTTTAGCAGGCTTTTACAACCTCCACATCATTTAGCTGATAGTAAAGATTGCAATCCAGTGACATTTACAGCCCTCCAAATCCAGAAGACCTCTCAAAGGCAGTCGGGTAAGTGCTGTGATGGTTTAAGTTCATGGAGAAACCGCTGGTAAAAGCATAGGCGAAAGAATCCCAGGAGATCATTTCCTAGTTCATAGGAGTACTGCCTGAGACCTTGGCACAGATGGCTTCAGATAATCATGACCAAAAGCTTTTAGCACAATCTTTCTGGAGTGATGAAGTTTGGAGACTGAAACACACATATTTCTGACCGGTTGGTGTTATTTCATGATGATGCTCTTTGGAATAGACATTGTTCTTCAATAATGAGTCCTGAGTCCTTGCTGGATGGAAGGGACCCCCAGTAATTAACTTGCCACTGAGGAATGGTGTTAGATGGGGGGCCAGGTGCTCTGCTCTACTGCTGGCAGGTTGGATGGTCATGAGCAACAAGGCTGAACTCAGCGGGGTTCATAGGAGCCTGTGCTGTCTGTGGGAGCCCGGGGACAGCCCCGTCCCTCATGTGTCCCTTGTGCCAGCACTTTGGTGGCCAGTGCCTGCAGTTGGCTGCATCTTCCATGGTGGGCGCTCTCTGTGGGGCATCAGCCTGTGACTTAAAGAGCTTTGCACTTCACGCCACTCCCACGTCCACCCATGTGTCCCCACCCATTCTTTCCATCTCTCTCCATCTGGCCTCTGTATCTGTCCTAACATCAAGCCATTTTTCCTTCCACACAAAGCAGAACATCAACCCAAAGTCTGCCTATTGGAAGGACTTACTCTTGCCACTGTTATTCGAGACCAGCCCTTGTAACCCACTTACTGTTCACTTTCACTGTGAACGCACATACCGGACCAACTGATCCACAAGTGAAGCTTGGGTTGTGTCTTCCGCTGCCACGTGGCTTATTAGGGAGGCTCCTATGTGGCCCTTCATGAACGGAGGAGGGGGGGACACTCTGCAATAGTGTAGCTGAAGTGAGGGGCCGGGCTACTCCCTCATGCAGTTTACTTGTGCCCACATGTCCTTTGTGAGCTCAGACCCAGCTGTACCCCTTCCAATTCACCATCAACCGCTGCTGGCTGGTCAGACCTTATGACTCTGTGCGAGTAATAATAGCTTTCAGCCCATGATGGGCAGTTGAAAGACGCACACTCCCCTGGAGTTCTGTGTTCAGGGATTAGGTCTCCGCCGGGACCCAAGATCACACCAGGAGTCGTTTTTCAAAAGACACATTAATTTCCCTTGCACACAGCATGGCTTTGCCAAAGGACCCCAGGGGACTATGTGACTACGTAGTGATTCTACCCGTGGGACTTGCCATAAGCTCCATACAGTATCTCTCCCCAACACCTACACCTCTGATAATGAAAATGCAGGGCTGATGACACGTCAGCCTGGACCTGCCGCAGAGCCTTTCCCTGCTCTAGGCCCTATTCAAACAAACTGAGGGTTTTGGAAGGGAGGGAGGTGGTGGGTTGGGTGAGCCTGGTGGTGGGTATTAAGGAGGGCATGTATTGCATGGAGCACTGGGTGCGGTGCATAAACAATGAATCTTGGAACACTGAAAAAAATAAAATTAAATTAGAATGTTAAAAAGTAAATAAAATAAAATACACGAATTAATAAAAACAAAAACAAAAACAAAGGAAGGAGCTGTGAAACACTAATTTAAAGTGGAGCCAGGAAGCCATGAAGGGGGCGCTCTCCCTCACGAGCTGCATTGCTGCGGGCTTTACCTGGGGGTGGGGTGCTAAGAAATATCTGGACAAGGGAGGGCATGTTTCACATAGAAATTTCTCTCCTACTTTTAAGAAAAAGAAGGAAGATCCCTCCCCGCCCCAGCAATAATGCACCAGCCACGCCATATGGCAATGAGAACCTGCCACGAGGTCCAACACTTCTTCTCCAGTGAACTTTTGTTGAAAACAACCCTCCCCAGTTTCCTCCTAAAACCTAATAAAAGGTGACCTTCCCTTTGTCCGTTTGAACTTGCTTATGGTTCAACAGAGTTTGCTTGAATTGCAATTTCTCTCTTATATCCAAATAAACTTATTTTGCTGGTAAAATAACCTGCCACTTTATTTTCAAGGTTGACCAAGCAGTTCACGCCACTGAGTGTATGGGCAGTGTCTGTGGGTGTGGCAGAACCCAAGATGCCCACCAGGTACGTGCTTCTTTCCTTGTGGTGGGAGGTGCAAGACGGCATCTTGTCTTTTACTTGGGATGAGGTTTCCTGGCAGGACCCTGATCATT